AATCACTGTTTGCAGATGACATGATACTATACAAAGAAAATTCTAAAGACGCTACTAGGAAACTACTAGAGCTCATCAATGATTTCAGTAAAGTTGTAGGATACAAAATTAACACACAGAAATCTGTTGCATTTCTATACACTAACAATAAAAGGTCAGAAAGGGAAATTAAGGAAACAATTTCATTTATCATCACATCAAAAATAATAAAATACTTGGAATAAACCTACCCAAGGAGGTAAAAGAACTGTACTCATAAAACTATAAGACACCGATGAAAGAAATCAAAGATGACACAAACATTTGGAAAGATATACTGTGTTCTTGGATTGGAAGAATCAATATTGTCAAAATGACTGTACTACCCAAGGCAATCTACAGATTCAGTGCAATCCCTATCAAATTACCAATGGCATTTTTCACAGAACTAGAACAAAAAACTTTTTAACTTGTGTGGAGACAAAAGAGACCCTGAATAGCCAAAGAAATCTTGAGAAAGAAAAACAGAGCTAGAGGAATCAGGTGCCCTGACTTCAGACTATACTATAAAGCTACAGTCATCAAAATCATATGGTACTGGCACAAAAATAGACATATGGATCAATGGAACCAGATAGAAAGCTCAGAAATAAACCCACCCACCTTTGGGCAATTAATCTATGACACAGGAGGCAAGACTATACAATGGAGAAAAGACAGTCTGTTCAATAAATAGTGCTGGGAACACTGAACAGCTACATGTTAAAAAATGAAGTTAGAACATTCTTTAACACCATACACAAACATAAAAACCTAAATGTAAGACCAGATACTATAAAACTCTTAGAGGAACACTCTTTGACATAAATCACAGCAATATCTTTTTCAATCCATCTCTTAAGAGTAATGGAAATAAAAACAAAGATAAACAAATGGGACCTAATTAAACTCAAATGTTTTTGCACAGCAAAGGAAACCATAAGCAAAACGAAAATACAACCTCAGAATGGGAGAAAATATTTCCAAACGATGAGACTATAAAGGGATTAATCTCCAAAACTTACGAACAGCTCATGCAGCTCAATATCAAAAAAACAAGCAACCCAGTAAAAAAAAATGGGCAGAAGACCTAAATAGACATTTCTCCAAAGAAGACATACAGATGGCCAAGAGACACATGAAAAGATGCTCAACGTCGCTAATTATTAGAGAAATGCAAATCAAAAGCACAATGAAGTATCACCTCACACCAGTTAGAATGGGCATCATCAGAAAATCTACAAACAACAAATGCTGGAAAGGGTGTGGAGAAAAGGGAACCCTCCTTACACTGTTGGTGGGAATGTAAATTGATACAGCCACTATGGAGAACAGTATGGAAGTTCCTTAAGAAAGAAATAATAGAGCTACCATATGATCCAGCAATCTCACTCCTGGGCATATGTCCAGAGAAAAACATGGTTCAAAAGGATACATGCACCCCAGTGTTCATTGCAGCGCTGTTTACAATAGCCAAGACATGGAAGCAAACTAAATGTCCATTGACAGATGAATGAATAAAGAAGATGTGGTACATATATGCAATGGAATATAATTCAGCCATTAAAAGGAATGAAATAATGTTATTTGCAGCAACATGGATGGACCTGGAAATTCTTATACTAAGTGAAGTAAATCAGACAGAGAAAGACAATTATTATATATTGCTTACATGTGGAATCTAAAAATAATGATACAAATGAACTTATTTACAGAACAGAAACAGACTCACAGACTTAGAAAATGAACTTATGGTTACCAGAGGGGAGAAGGATGGGGTGGGAGGAGGGATAGATTGGGAGATTGGGATTGACATGAACACACTGCTATATTTTAAAAACATAACCAACAAGGACCTACCTACCATACAGCACAGGGAATTCTGTTCAATACTCTGTAATAACCTAAACAGGAACAGAATTTGAAAAAGAATAGATACCTGTATATGTTTAACTGAATCACTTTGCTGTACACCTGAAACTAACACAACATTGTTAATCTACTACACTCCAATGTAAAATAAAAATTTTAAAAAGTAAAATAAAAACAAGGAATTAAAAAAAACAAATATATTGCAACAAATTGGACAACCTATAAGAAATGGACAAGTTTCTAAAACATACAGCCCACCACAACTGAATCAAGAAGAAATAGATATTCTGAACAAATTGATCACTAGAAGTGAAATAGAACCTGTAATTTAAAAAACTCCCTGGAAACAAAAGTCCAGGACTGGATGGCTTCACTGGGGAATTCTGCCAAACATGCAAAAAGAATGTATATCAATCCTTCTCAAACTTTTCCGAAAGACTGAAGAGGAGGGAATACCCCCAAAGTCATTCTACGACGCCACCATCACCCTGATGCCAAAACCCAACAAAGACAATACCAAAATAGAAAATCACTGACCATACCTTTGATGAATATAGATGCAAAAATTCTCAACAAAACATTAGCAAACTGAATCCAACAACACGTAAAAGAGATCATACACTATAATCAAGGTGGATTCATCCCAGGGTCACAAGGATCATTCAACATATGCAAATCAATCAATTTGGTACACCACACCAACAAATGCAACGACAAAACCACACGATCATCTCAATAGAAGCAGAAAAAGCATCTGACAAAATTCAACATCCATTCATGATAAAAAAAAAAAAAAAAACCCTCTTACGAAAGTGGGTATACAGGGAACATATCTCAACGTAATAAAAGCTATTTAGGACAACCTTACAGCCAACATAATACTCAACAGTGAAATGTTTAAAATCTTCCTGCTAAAATCTAGAGCAAGACAAGGAAGCCCACCCTCACCACTTCTACTCAACATAGTATTGGAAGTCCTAGTCACAGCAATCAGGTGAGAGAAAGAAAGAAAACGTATCCAAATTGGAAGGGAAGAGGTAAATTTGTCATTATGCATAGATAATGTGATACTATGTTAGAAAATCCTAAAGATGCCACACAAAAGCTACTAGAACTGAAAATCAGGTTCAGCAATGTAGCAGGATATGAGATTAACATACAGAAATCTGTTGCATTTCTTTATGCTAACAATGAAAGGGAAGGGAAAGTCAAAAACAATCACTTTTAAAATCACATCAAAAAGAATGAAATGCTTAGGAATAAACCTGAAAAAGGAGGTGAAAGACATAGGCTGAGAACTATAAAGCATTGATAAAGACAACAGAGGATGATTTAAAGAAATGGAAAGATATCCCATGCTCTTGCTCCACACAATGGAATACTACTCAGCCATAAAAAAGAATGAAATCACGCCATCTGCAGCAACATGGATGGACGAGAGATGATCATACTAGGTGAAGTAAGTCAGAGACAAATTCCATATAATATCACTTATATGTAGAATCTAAAGTATGATACAAATGAACTTATTTACAAAGCCAAAACAGACTCATAGACATAAAAAACTAACTTATGGTTACCAAAGGGGAAAAGGGTTGGGGAGGGATAAATTAGGGGTTTGGGATTAGCAGGTATAAACTACTATAAATAAAATAGATAAACAACAAGTCCTATTGTATAGCACGGGGAACTATATTCAATATATTGTTATAATCTACAATGGAAAAGAATAGGAAGAAAAATATATATATATATATAAATGCATAACTGAATCACTTTGCTGTACACCGGACACTAACATAACATTGTAAATCAACTATACTTCAGTTAAAAACACAAAACCAAATAACTACCAACAAGTCCCTCTTCACAGCACCAGATCAGTGTTTTCCATCGTCTGAATGCAACTTCAAACTACACAAGTAAACTCAGATTTGTGACACCCAATCATTTCAGAGAAAATAATTTTTCTTTTCTGCAAGCCAGTGTTGTGTAAGTTTTGGTATACTGTAAATCATCATGTTCATGTCCTATAGCAACCAGAGATTTCATAACCACTTGCAACCCTAAAACAGGCGTTTGTTGTTGCCGTTTTTAGCTTTCTGTGAATGGAATTCCCCATTAACACTTATCCTTTTTGGATTTTTTTTTTTTTACTTTTAGCTTTTATGTACATTTTTAAGACTATAGTACCTACAAATATATGAGTGTGATTTATTGCTGTTTTCAGTAGATGGTAATTGAGGTGATGTTAGATGTGGTTTTTTCCTCCTGTTCTATGGGGAAAAGTTTGATGAAGGACCTATGAACATGGGCAGATTGTATGGCTATTTTATCACGTATAAGAGAGCTGACCTTCAGACCAAGTCCCCCATTAGTCACTCTGCCACCTGGGCCAGTGGAAGGAAACGTGGACACTGGAGCCAACAGACTTGGATTTGAATCCTGACTACACAGCTACTGCTGAGTGATCTGTGTCACCAACAAAGCCTGTGAGTCGTAAGTGTCCTTGTCTATAGAACCAGGTATAATACTATTCTGTAGGATTTAAGATTTAATATGGTATTGCATGTGAAGAACAGGTTACCTGGAACCACTCTTACAAATATTGGCCTTTGCTTCCCCTTTTGCTTATTTGTTCCATAAAGCTGGGCTGTTCAAACCTCCACATTATTTATTCTGCTAGCCAAAAGTTAGAATCACAAACTGCACTTAAACATACGAATATTGCATTTCTAAAAAACAAATGTCTAATTCCAGCTGGTGTCAAACTCAACAGAACATTTGTCCTACATTTTCCCCAGCACCAAAGTTTGTTTCAATACCATCCGCAGCACACGGATATCCCAGGAACCTAAAGAATCCATCCAGAAGCCAATTCCTTTTGTCCCAAACCAAGGAGATGCAAAAGCAGCTAGAGAAGGAGCTTGAAAGCAGAGGAAAACGTCTTGTCCATGGCACGTGATTACCTTTAACAACCAGCTCCTGTTTCAAATTCAGCCTCCTGTGCCCTCAGCTGTAGCTCCCAAATACCAACACACTGGGCGTTAGGATTTCAATAGCAATTTTGTGGAGGCCGCAAACATTTAGTTCACAAAATCTGCACTTACCTGGATCCCCCTGTCTTGCTGTCATCATCACAGCACCTTCAAGACCCTCACTGGAGACTAGGGCTGGGAGGCCAAGTATGGTCCAGGGCACATCTCTCATACTCCAGGAGCTTACAGCCTAGTGGAGAGAAGATTGGGTACTTATTAAATACTTACTAATATCAACAGCTCCCGTTTATTGAGAACTTACTATATGGCACCCTTAGGCACTGCTTTAAATGCAAACCCTGCACCAACTCACTTAATCCCCATGACAACTCTGAGATGATCCCCGGCATTTTACAAATGAGGAAACTGAGTGAGGCACCGAGGGATTAAGAAGCTTACACAGACCTAATCAAATTTATAAGCTTTTGCACAGCAAAGGAAACCATAAATAAAACAAAAAAACAAGCTGTGGAATGGAAGAAAGTATTTGCAAACAATGCAAATGACAAGGGCTTAATTTCCAAAAAATACAAACAGCTCACACAACTCAATAACAAAAAAACAACCCAATCAAAAAATGAGCAGGGGCTTCCCTGGTGGCGCAGTGGTTGGGAGTCCGCCTGCCGATGCAGGGAACACGGGTTCGTGCCCCGGTCCGGGAGAATACCACGTGACACAGAGCGGCTGGGCCCATAAGCCATGGCCGCTGAGCCTGCGCGTCCGGAGCCTGTGCTCCGCAACGGGAGAGGCCGCAACAGCGAGAGGCCCGCGTATTGCAAAAAAAAAAAAAAGAGCAGAAGACCTAAATAGACTTTTCTCTAAAAAAGACACATAGATGGCCAATAGGTACATGGAAAAGGTGTTCAACATCGTTAATTATTAGAGAAAGGCAAATCACAACTACAAAGATGTATCATCTGACACTAGTCAGAATGTCCATCATCAAAAAGTCTACAAATAATAAATGCTGGATGGGTGTGGAGAAGAAGGAACCCTCCTACACTGTTGTTGGGAATGTAAATTTGTGCAGCCACTATGGAGAACAGAATGGAGTTTCCTTAATAAACTAAGAATACAGTTACCATATGATATAGCAATCCCACTCTTGGGCATATATCCGGAGAAAACTCTAATTTGAAAAGATACATACACCCCAATGCTCATAACTGCACTATTTACAATATTCAAGACATGGAAGCAACCTAAATGTCCATCAACTGAAGAATGGATAAAGATGTGGTATATACACAACAGAATACTACTCAGCCTTAAAAAAGAATGAAATAATGTCATTTTCAGCAACATGCATGGACCTAGAGATTATCATACTAAGTGAAGTAAGTCAGACAGAGAAAGACAGTAATTCCATGTTATCACATAAATGTGGAATCTAAAATATGATACAAATGAACTCATTTACAAAACAGAAACAGACTCACAGACATAGAGAACAAACTTATGGTTACCAAAGGGAAAGGGGGGATAAATTAGGAGTTTGGGATTAACGTTAAAAAAAAAAAGAAGCTTGCACAGTCACAGACTTTGAAAATGATAAAGCGGGATTCAAACCTTGCTCCGTCTGTGGTCTTCTTACAACACTAAAGAGCATGGAAGTTCAGAGGTCGACCTCTTGGCTTCAGAGCCTGCCTCCACGGGTTGCTGAGAACGTTCCGCCATCACTCTGAGCCTGGACTTCTTCATCGTTAAATGGGCATGATTGCCACCACGTGGAATTGCTGCAGGAATTAAAGGCTACAGGTGAATGTGCTTGGTGAGTATCAACGTCCTCAGTGAGGACTGCAGACCACGGGGCCTTCTTTCTGCCCCCGAGGTAAGCGCTTTGGGAGTTCTAAGAGCAGAAGTACACACTTGGTTGAGGTGATGGCAGGGAAGCCTGGGGTGGTGGGAGGGGGCTTCTGCAGGTGGCGGAGCAGGATGTTTCGCAGGAAGGGAAGTCAGGGAGATCCTCTCCAGCAGAAGAGCTCCCGGGGAGGGGAGGAACGGTGGGAGCAGGGAGCGCCCCGTGGCTGTGGCTCTGCCCAGTGTCAGTGCCCCACGGGGGCGCAGCTCAGCGGGAGAGGCTGGGTTCGGTGGGCCCACACCTGTTGGGCATCTGCGCTAGGGTGATCTGGGTGAGGCTGGGCAGCAACTGGCTCTGGACGGAGGGCAAAGCCCAGGCCCGTGTTCCCTGCAGCCCAGGCCCGTGTTCCCTGCAGCCCAGGAGCCAGGAGCTCATTAAAGAGGAGAGAAGGAGCAATTACCTGCAAACTTCAGAAGGCCAAAGACCAGAAGGAGCGGGGCCGGGGGAGGGTGGCTCTCTACCTGGGGCCCCGGCAGCGGCAGCGTGCCGGGACGCAGAGGGGATGAAAGGAAGATGGAGACAGCTTCCGGGGTCAGGACGGGGTCAGTCAATGAACCAGGTGGCCCGGAAAGCTGGGGAGAGTGGCTTAGGCTTGATATGACCTGTAATGGGGAGCTCTGGGGAATCTGGAGCAAGGGAGGGGCAGGCTTCAAAGGGAGGAAGGGGCTGCTGGTAACTGGATGGGCGGGGCTTGAGCGGGAGGGAAGGAAACCCCAGGGCGGTGCTGTCAGATAGAAATATTAGAAATATAACGCCAAGCCCCTGTGTAATTTACAATTGTCTGATAGCCCATTAGAAATAGCAAAAGAGGTGAAATTAATTCTGATTATATATTTAACCCAATATACCAGAAAGATTTATCATTTCTACGTGAAATCAATGTAAACATCATTATTGAGATAACTCACATTTCTCTGGTGTTAAGTCTTCGAGGTCGGGAGTGTATCTCAGCCAGGACACAGGGATTCAGACTAGCCGCGTTCCTGGGGTCACAGGTGGCTCGTGGCTGCAGCATGGGACAGCGTGGGTCTGGACCAAGGAAAAGTTGGGGTGAAGTGGACGGCAGAAGTGGCCCTTCCCAGGTTTCCGTCCTGTGCGCTTTTTAGCACTGCCACCCGCTGGAGGACTGTGCTGTCCTTTGACCATGAGCTGTGAGCAAGGAAGTGCCCCTGGCCAGCCTCTTCTCTGCTCTGCAGAGCCCTGGGTGTCTGGTCTCCACTGCATACCCCGAGTTCAACGTTAGCCCTGGATTTCTCAGGGATAGTCCAAGAGAAGAGTTGTTTTGAGAAAGTTAACTTCCCTGAAGCGCTCCCATCTTCTGAGGGCGGGGGTGGGCTGAGGAAGCGGGTTTTAAGTCCCTGGTAGCTGCTCAAAGCCCGTTAACGCGGCAGGTGGCGGAGATTTGACTTGGGAGCTACAGCTGAGGGCAGGGGAGGCTAATTTACCAATAAAACGAGCTAGTTGTTACAGGTTACCAGGTGCCATGGATAAGAGGTTTCCCTCTGCTTCCAAGCTCCTCCTCTCAGCCGCTCTGGCATCTCCTTGATTTGGGAGAAAAGGAATTGGCTTCCAGGCGAGTCTTTTACGTTCCTGGGATATTGGTGTGCTGTGGAGGGTATGAAACAAACTTTTGGTGCTGGGCAACTCTGGGTTTGAGTTTCAGCATTATGACCCCGAGAGAGCTGGGTCAACTTCCTGCCCCACAGTGTCCTTATCTGCGACGTGGGAACAGGAGTACATACGATTGGAGGGTTTATTCAAAGGATAAAACAGGAGAGAAAGTGCGTGAAGCTCTTCACCTGGGACGTGAGGGCTCCACAGATGGGAAATGATTTACGGGTCCCAATTACCGTCATGACCATCGCTATTCATGGAGCGGGGCCTGGGCTGAGTTTGTGGTTTGGGTCGGGAGAAGCAACAGGAGAAGGATATGGGGGGATGAGGAGGGGTGCACGGAGGGATGTCTCCTTACACAGCCAGTCTGAAAGGGGGTCTCTGAGGGATGAAGGTGGAGCCAGAGGCCTCCAGATGGATAGGGCCTGAGTGCGGGAGGCCTGGGCGCTCGTCCGGGGCTGGCAGGCGAGCAGCACTCCAGCCACAGCTCTGAACTCTGTCTGGGGGTCATGTTCTTCCCCACAGGTTTCCAGCTCCACCTCCCACATCCAGAGTTACCCAAACATTTTCCAAACCAGCCTGACCCCTTTCTAATGTATTCCAGATGCACTTGGAGAAATGGGGAAAATGCAGAGCCAAGGGGGAAGTTGCACGTTTAGAGCACCAGGTTGGGCCCAAAGATGCTGCCCAGTGGGTACCCGGCGCCAGGGGACGTGTTGCCTCCGTTCTTCCTCCTCCCGTGTCTCCCCCAGAAGACTTCCACAGCCCCTTCCCAGAGGCCCCACGCGGAGCTGCCCTTGGCGAGGCGGGGTTTGTCTCAGGCATGCACATTGACCCTCAGACCCATCAGTAGGGCTTGGGGTCACTCATTTTCTGAATATTTATTGAGCACCTACTATGATTTGCTTTGTACTTTTTTTTAATTGAGATAAAATTGACATGTTACCTTGTATTCGTTTCAGGGTACTCTATTGATGATTAATGATTTATAAAAACAGTTTTGATCTCACAAACTCCCTGAAAGGATCTAAAGGACCTCCCAGGGGTCCAGGGATCACACCTTGGGAACAATGTCTTTAAAGGAAAAGTACATATGTTGATGAGAGCTTCAAACAAGGCAACATGACCCAGCTAGGGGACAAGAGAGTAGATTGAAAAGGAGGCCATGGGCAAAGCATGTACAAAGGCCCAGTGGTGAGGGACAGCATGATACCCTAGAGGGATCGAAGGAACTACAAATTCTCTGTCTGGGGTATACCGGGGGCAGCTGCAAGTCACCCCACCCCTCAAATTCCTGTCCCTAAAAATGTATCGAGATGCTGTGACATGCCGAGTACAGAGCTCATCTCTTCCCTCTTGGAGCTGACAGTCTGGGAGGGGGACAGGAGATGCTTATCCCCATCCAGCATTACTGTGATATGTGCAGAGATTGGGGTGCTGGCTCTGATACGTGTGTGTGCAGGAGGGGCACAAATGTCAGATTTGGAAAGTCAAGGTGGCAGGGAGGCTTACGTTCAGTCTTGAAGGGTGAGTAGGGGTGACCTAGGTGCAGGGGATGGTGTGTCTGTACCAAGCTGAAGGACAGCAGGGCTCAAAGTTCTGGAAGCAAGAGACAGCATGGGCTTTGGTGGGAATGGGAAGGGTGCACCGTGGAGGGGTGGGGAGACTGGGAAGGGCGATGGCCATTCAGTGCAGTGTGCAGACCAGACCAGTCGACTCTGAGCTCTAAACCCACTGCGGTTTGTTGTTAAGATCACAGGCTAAATTCTAAGCCATGACTCCGTATTTTATCTCTTTGGACCGGGTTATAGAGGCTATACTGGTTGGAGTTTAGGAACACAGATTCTGGAGTCTGTCTGCCTGGGCTCAGATCCTAGGTCTGCTATAAACTACCTGTGTCACCTTGGATCAGTCACTCAACCTCTCTGTGACTCAGCTCCTCCGCCCTATAATAGGAATAATGCTAGTACCTACCACATATGATTACTGTAGGGGATCAGTGGTTATATGGACAGTTATAGGACTTAAGTATCATTCTTGACAAATTCCTCACCCCCAGGAGGGATACTCATGCCGACTTACCCACTTCAGGTGATGCTGTGGAAAGCATAGCATCTTAGCATTGGCAGCAGCCCTGGGGGTTTATCTGGTTCAAGTCCCATGTGGTTCAGGTGATCTCCAGTGTCCCTGTCCATCTGCCCATCCCGGACAAGTGGCTGTTTGGGCTGTGCTCGTGCATGCCCTGTGATGGAGTTGAGAGAACAGGTACTCAAGTGGATGCCTTTCATTCCTGGGAAGGAATCCAGAAGGAGAAATGGAGTCAGAAAAGTGCAAACCTAACATCTATACCCCTTTCTTCCACTTTAGGGAAAGTGATGCGAGTGTGTTTCAACCAAAAAAGAGAAAACCTTCCTCTAGATCTCTGTCAGTTCTCTAAACCTTCCTCTAGAT